AGTGATGTTAGTTGATGCATGACAAATCCTGACTAATAAATAAAATTGAATATGTATCAACAACTAGTCACACTTGGTCAAATTCCCGATTGTCTACGTCTTCTTATGGAGAGAATAAAAAATGTTTTATAATTGTTCACCCAAACACACACCTACCATTGTATACTGCATATAAACATATATTTTAACAAAGTAGACTAATTTTGAAAGTCTGAGGTCAAATTTTCATCACATTTCATACAGTTTTTGTTTACTATACATGTCGATGCCTGTTTGTTGATTCATTTGACAGAACAAAATCTAGTTTACTTTGGAAGCAGAATCAGACGTCGGTGAACGGACATTTCCATCCATTCTCAAAGACCTATTTTATGTTTATTGTGGATTATTTCTTCAAAATCATAATTCGATTCAGTTGTACATTTTTTGCTATCACAGATATTGACTGGTTTGGAATAAAGCTGTTATTATTATTATTATTATTAAATCCATCACAATTAACATACTGATAAACATTTTGAGAACTATTTCCTAATTTCTTAGTGTTACATAGAGTTGTGAAAGATCACCAGGTCTCAGTTTAAATCTTGACGTTTTCCCACCCTGGAATTACACACTATGACCTGACATTTTTGACCAGGATCGCGTTTAGGTAAACGCAATATTTAAAACAAATGAACTGACTCCATGGAGAACAATGAACCCAAAGTAAATTAATAAAGAATGGAATATTCACATACAGACACATTTAAATATACCGACGAAATTGTTTGCTGTGCTTATTTTAAATGTGATGAGGCACCTGATCAGAAGTAGCATTCACGAATTATTTCTTAGTACGTGAAATGCTTCATTTCCCGGAAACTTAAAGTCTCTGTTAAAAGATGGCATCATGATGCCTGAAGAATTATGCTGCAGAGAAAAACGTTCATCTGTTATTAATCGAAATACTGCTTCTATTATGTCAACTGTTTTTCGTAATGGCACTAGCATAACTAATAAGTTTTATATGGTTGGATAGAGATGTCACTCAGAAGGCATGAGACATACTTACATCTCACTCCACAATAAGCCATCCAGGTGAATTAAAGCTGCTTTCGTTGTATCCAGAAATAAAACGTAATTAGCCTGAATGGAATCGAATTGAACATGAAAAATGTATTCAGATGATCTAATAATTTCAAATTCATTTCCAGTGTACATGTGGAAAGCCCTTGCTGATCTTAGTATCTCTGTGATGTCGCCTTCATCATTTTAATTTGTCAATGGTGTTGCCTGCTTTCTGCCAGCACCAGTTTTCCTGGGTACGATTGAATGGCTGCAAAGCTGCCAAAGTGACTGAAACTGTGATCAGATAGTGTAATGCATCTACACGACTCAGACGAATCTAGCACGCTTTCAAGTGGAAATATACATTCCCGGAGTAAGTGCTACGACAAAGTCTGGAACTTTACTTTTTGTGCAACAATCTCTCGTTAGAGCAGTCTCATCTGATTCCATGTTTTCGTATATTTCGTTACAACATCGAAGTCGAAATAATAGGTAATTATTGCGCCTGCTAGCATCCTCCAGTTTGGCTGTCGTTCCTCAGATCCCGTCAACGCAATAGAAATCTGATCCCCCGATACCTTTCAATCTAATTGTTAACCATTCACTAATGAGAAAGTTGGTATTTCAGATATTTGAATGGTTATTATGAACAAACTTATCACTACAAAATTCAACGACAGTAGACATAACTGTGTGTGTTAGGATCTGCATTTGCTTCACCGAGGTTAGAAGTGCAGCCACTTGCATAAGCCCTAAAATTCCTGCATCTATGAGCCAACGACAGTCATATTGTTAAGCTATTTCAATCGTGTTATTATAAGCCTCAGCTATCAGTCTATTTTTTACTGTGATAATTATCTGCTAGATGGACAGTAATCGAGGCTGCCTTTCTCAACTCGTCGCGGCCAAACCATTAAATCATTCATGGTCGCAGACTGAGTCAGAATGTTTTGTCCTCAGTCACAGAATGTCATATAGAGCAACGAAATATGACACGCCCGTGAAGAGCTAGACTGACGGTCATTGCTCAAACCTACTTGGGCTTTCTACTTGCTTCCTTTTAATGCTGCCATTTACAGCTCACAAAAAATCTGACCGAATATGGGTCCTATGCTTATCTTCATGATGCAGCATCGGTCACAGTACATGTTATATTTAGGCCCAGTTGGAGTGAACTATTTCGATTTCGGTATTCTCGCAGTTCTTATTTATATTAAAGGTTTGATGTCTAACCGTTACAAATAAGCGTTCATAATGTACATCTTACAGCTTTGTGGGGATATTAGTTTCGAACATATGAGTACCAAACAGATTTTAAAACAAGTTTCAGTGTTAACTTTTCAAACTAAGATTTTTATGAAACGAATAGGAATCAGGATTCTGAAACAAGACAAGTCGATCTAAATGAATATTCTCAGAAATATCAACTCAATCAAGAATTATAGAAGTCTGATAGCATAGTCTACTGACAGAAAACACTTCTTGAGATATCAAAGCCTGTCTCTAATTCTGTCAAGAAGTGTAAACGTAAATATCATTAATGGAATACACAAGTGCTGTGTCACTGTTTTATGGCTGCTTTTGTGGGAAATAATATTCCGGCCTTAGAATAATAAGTTCCAGCATGTGTGAATTCTGATACCAGACTGCCTTAACATCTTCCAATTTGGTAGTATTTGCTCGTTAGATATAAAATTTGTTCGGTAAATTAGGGTGATTGAGGTTATGTTTATAACATTAGATTACCTCAAAGTTTTCACATAATCAGTCAATGATTTGATACCTGTGAATCATCCGACAGACTTAACGACCGAATATTCTTCAAAGTGAATATATGCACCTGAGGATGACTCAGAGTTTCGGTTTTGGAATCCACACAAGGATATTATGTATGATGTTACTAAACAAACCTCTCCGTATATCTATCTCAAGTAAGTAAGCTCGCCACAGTGTTTGTTATGGCTTATCATTTCTGGTCAGACATCTTGTCTTTACTACCAAACTAGGAAGGATGATTGTTGATGACCTACTGCACCAGGATGTTGCACGTGACGCACCAAGTCTCTGAAGTATACAGAAGCAATGAGTTTACTGAAGTGTTAAGGACTTAGCTGATTTCCTCGATGCTTAATTTAGAAACCTGTCTTTAATCCAAAACAAAGCAGTGTGGCTACCACAGAAGATGGACTCGATAGCTAGAGAGGACTCAAAACACTCCTACACATATATCAGTATCATCGAAAGAACTTTACTCAGAGACAAAATCCCACCAACGTATTGATTTAATCGAATGAAACTCTAAACATCTTCACAATACATCCGATAATACGCAATCCACAAACATATGCATACCTTTCTGCTTCTCTCTATCTCTCACTTCGCTCGCATCTTTCATATATCACTACCATCATCATCATGTGTCATGGGTGAATAAACATCATTCGGAGGTTGATTGATTCTTCAGAGTAAAAAGGTAGGAGGCACATGTAGGAGTGATAGTGCTATGTAACGTGCTAACAAAACATAAGCACAGAAAGCCAGTTGTAAGTAGGAAAATGAGCTCAGCAAAATATGGGTGTGTGTTGCTGGTGATGTGTAGCGTATAAGATTGGGTTGCTTTCCGTTACAGGCTTGTCATAACTTTTAACAGCGCGAGAAATTTTTCACAATTCTCTCTCTCTTTCTCTCTGTCACTCGCAAACGCACACACTATCTCTGTCTGACTGTATGTCTGTCTATCCATCTGTATCTCAATTTATCTGTCCCCTTAAAACGAAAACATGACACTCACACATGCGAATTACACAAATAATCATGAACATACATTGTTCCTTTCGTGATAATCTCTTTATAAGCTCTCGGGTTATTCTGTCGTCAACAGTCTTACTGTGATGGGAAACCGTTCACCTCATCATCATCTGCAGCTCACGAGGATTGGGGGGGGGACATTGCGAGAACACTGCCAACACACGCAAGCTCACGTAAAAACACATAAAAGCATAGATTGAGTCACACACCCTCACCATATTTATACTTATCAATTCTTAGCTTTCAGACTCCATTAAACTCTCTCTCTCTATCGTTCCCCCTTTCTCTCACACTCTCTCGGTTTCTTCATCTTTCGCACTATTTCTCTATTCTCCACGTCCTATTATGATGCGTATACTTGTTTTGTAGTCTTTGGCGAATAATTGCACTTTTCCTTGTCGTCAGTTAAAACAAAAATCCTCGAGTTTTACAAAAGCAGTTAGCCTATTTGTTGTAATTAACGACTTCATTCTCACATCGCTCACTCTACTAGAAAGACACAAAAGAGCAGCGGAAACAAGATATTACAAACGAAAATATTATATTTAATCGATCAAAAAAGAAATAAGCAAACAATGTTATCCCTTCAATATTCCTTGAATTCCCTTGGAATTGAATTCCCTTTTCCTGCAGCTGAAACAAAATAAAACCAGAAGCAAGCTACAACTGGGTTGAAAATAGGCACATATCTTGTAAAGCAGAAATTATTGTTGATAGTTTTCATCTTACTGACAATGACATTAATCTTCAGGCAATAATTTCAGTGAAGATTGATACACTATCTGGTTGATTCTAAGTTAAAATTCCCTTCACGCAAAAATCAACTATGCAACTCACCAGTTGAATTTACGATATTCTCAACAGTTGTTACAATTCTGATATTGTGTACAACCGACAACTGTGGTCATGCAACCAGTCAGCCAACTAGCTCAGCCAACATTTGCTTGTAAAAAAGACGTTTTAAAAGACTCCTTATTACCTACGTGCGTGCAGCAAGATTAACAAAAAATCATTTCCCCGTGAGCATCATTCACTATCGAATGGATATGTATATATATATTCAAATAAATGAGGTAATAAAGTCATTCTAGCTATCCGCTCCCCCACCACACCACAGTAAATGTAACCAAGAACAGCATTGATGAGATTAAGCGGAATTTATTTCAGAAAGTCGACTTCTTAACATGATTACGATCGGAGCATCATGAGATATTCTACTTGACACAGGTAGGCGTTCACTGAATGTTGTGAACATTCAGGAGTTCATTTTCGTATAGTCGGTGACCTAAAGGTACCAAAATGTTGTCGTTTTCAGTATCAAATTTCGGCGGGACATCTACTGAACAAATTTCCTGTAGGCAATAGAAAATATGAGAAAGAAAATCACTCAGCCTTTGTTTCTAATTGTGCGGAGTTTGGGTGAAATTGAGTAACTTTCCCGAAAATAATAAATAACTGATCAGAGAAATTCACAATAAAAATACTATATTAATTTGTTGGTTATATATCACACAAATATGCAGTCAGTGAAACAGTATTATTCATTGCTGGATGACTAATTCTTTCGAAAACAATTTACCTATTTTTCATTATCACTTCATCATTTATAATGACACAAACTTTCAAAATACCATTTCTCAGTTATCTTTATTCCAACATCTTCGCCGAAGGTCACAGTTTACAGTAGGATTTTCCAGATGCCGAAGTGGAGAGGAGTTGAATCACTCCTATTGGACGCATTCCACGGTCTCGGTCGATTCAACAGATAAAGAATCAAACAGTTAGCAGTCCTTCCATCTCCTCCCTGTTATATTAGATTTTCCAACGCTTATCTTATTCTACTACCCCAGAGTATTTTTTATTCCTTTACGTTCCCAGTGGTACATAGGGCTTTAAGCCAGAACACGTTTCAGTAGCAGTGGCGTCTATTTCACGGGGTGAGGTTGCTGGTCTCATTCCCGAACCTCCCTCTTTACCAGTTTCATTACTAACCTCTAGCCAATTTTTAGGCGAGTGTTTGTCCTCACAGCCGACCTGATGCACCTAACTGGTCACAACTACCTACTAGAAACTCAGGTACACTCTCATGTGCACCTACCGCTTAATAAATCAACTTTTCATTTGTATTATTCAGTGAGGATGAAGGATACACCTCGAAACACCTCCTTGATCCAAAACCAGCCACCCATCCCACCGCACCCATCAGACCAAACAGAATCTTACAAAATGGATGCGCAGTTATCTTTTTACACTCTACAAAACAACAAAACACTGAAAAAAACGAACATTTACTTAATCGAATTTAATTGTTGGATGGTGACTAACAGTGGAATCCAGGATGCGCATTTCGTCTTTTTGGGACTCGTCTCCTGGATGTACCTGCATTTCTCAGTGAGTGATGATGTTCCCACTGAGGCTCGAACCCAGCGCCCATAGTTTCAAACTCAGAAGCGTTATGCACTAGACCACTTGGGCCATGAGAGACACCTGAGACCGAGCACTTCGGTCCAATCAATCCACCGGAAAATCAAAAAAGGTCAATTAAATTTACTTACTCGAATAGCAGCGTCGATCTGTTTGCACACGCCATCCTTGTAATATACCTGATGACTGAGAAGAAGACATTCATCATTTTACTCATCAAACGTGTCCAGAAAAAACATTTCAAAAAAGATTGATTATTCAACAGACAATACTCACATTTTCAATCACCTGCTCTTCATCATCATCATCGTCAGTTTCTAAAGTTACATTCATCCACAATACGGAATGAATCAATTGAAGTTATTCACAGGGTGAATTACGTTGTTTAAATAACATCGAATCAATGAGAATATTAATGATATCAATGGATTACAGTACGACAGCATTAACATGACACTTAACACAATGAATATCAGACAAATTAGGGATAGTAATAACTATAATCTGAAGCCCTATGTTCCTCTAGTAATTAGAGGAAATAATGATAAATAATAACAATAATACAAATTCCTGAATTTATAGGCTGCAGAGAGAGAAGGCCGGCCAGGGTAATAGTGGTAGCAAAAGAGGCTGGCTAGTTGGACCTGTTTCGTCTCCACACATAAACAGAGTACCTTTTGTTTTAGGCTATTTGTTCCGAGTATTTTGTTCCTGAATGCTTTTGGCGATTTGTTTAGTAGCTGATATATGATGATGGAGAAGGATTATTCAATATTAGCTGTGTGGCCTGTCGGTCTGGACCAGGCCGTGTAATATCGAACTGTTGATGTTTTTCACTATGCCTCTGTTAAGCCACATCACACTGGTAGGTTTATCCGATTAAACACAAAAGCCAAGTTCTAAGAGCATTGGCCAATATAAATCACAAACGCAGTAGGATTGGTAGATAAGATTAAATGTGACCAGCTACTCCTAATACTTCATCTTTCAATCAAGGAATCACACCGATCGTGTTGACAATACAACTTGTAGTTTACCAGAGTTAATATTCCTCTGATTAGATTTTCTTAACTTCTTCGTAATTATTTTGCCAGGTATATCGTCCTTGAATTTCAGTGGTAAAAGTGTAAATGTTTCTTGTTCACCGAGTGTGAATATTCATTTTCTGCCTTCTTGGTCGTGTTATTTCTGATGAACTTTTCTGGATAGTCATTTTCAATTAGGGTGTAATATGCTATGCCAAGTTCATCTTCAATTACATTTTTTGAGCATATAACTTTGAACCTGTAGCTGAGTCAGGTCCTCACTGAATTTTTTGTACTGAGGAGGAGGGAAGCTGTGAAAACGTGTATATTTTACAGTTCACATAATATTCTTGTGTGCAATTTTTTTTTTTACAACCATCAGGTTTTCTTGTAACGAGGACATCTAGGAAGATAATTCATTTTATTTTGGGATTCCTCTTCACACGTGAAACCACTAGCAGCAGAGCACACTTCAGTGAACTGAGTTTTCACTGTGTTTTTCTCCGAAAAGACCAGTATTCTTTGTGTATGTGTGCGAAGATGAAACAAGTCTATCTAAGCAGCCAGACACCCCTGCTTATACAATGCTGGCCGGACTTCTATGTCTACAGCCTTTAAATTCATGAATTTGTATTATTATTATTAATACTGTTCCTAGATTGTCTAATATTTATTCAGCATGCAGTGTCATGCTGATGCATATGAACACACATAGAGCTGGTGTTCAGTTGCAGTCTATTCACACTATCACTACTGCTAATGATTGATTCGCTGTTATTCTGAACAATGACATTAATATTGCTTATAACACTAATTCTTTCATCCACTATTATGGATGTACGAATGGATGGATACGTAACTGTGTAGAATTTGATGATGATGATGACGATAAAGTGTAGGTTATCGAAAGGGTGGGTATCCTTTGTCTGGTAATTTTATTATTATAATCATAATCATTAAGATAATTATTGGCAAATGGTTTTGGGGTGAATGTTTAAAAGCCTAATTAGAGAAGTCACATAAAAGTAATACGAAGCTGCACGATATTAATTAACAAGAGCCGTATAATACATGTCACGAACGGAGCTGAGACCTAGTAGACTATGAGCGAATACTAACTTTATGGAAAAATAGTGCCCTCAATACATTTAACCCTACTCCGAAAAATATGGTGGAGATATGTGGATGACACTTTCACAGTGTTAAAAACAGAACACATCTCTAGCTTCTTGACACATATAAACTCACAAGTTGAGGGAATAAAATTCACATTTGAATCAGAAAATGAACAAGGAGAATTAGCTATGTTAGATTGTAAGATAAAAAGAATAGAAGAAGGCAAACTACACACTAGTGTTTATAGAAAACCAACGCATTCTAATAGATATTTAGACTTTAATTCGTCTCATCCTTTAACTGTTAAGGCAGGCTTAGTTAAATGTTTAACAAACCGAGCAGTGGCACTAAGTAGCACAAAAAAAGATCTAAATGATGAATTAAAACAGATAGAAGAAGCGTTGGTGTTGAATAACTATCCTATAAAATTCATTAGGAAGATCATTAAAGGCCAAAAACAAAATAAAAATAATTGTGAAACTAGTAATAATAACATAAATAAGAAAGAATATAAGTCATCCACAGTTATACCATATAAAGAGGGGACATCGGAGACACTACGTAGGATTCTGAATAAAATAGGAATTAGGGTGGCATTTAAACCTACAAACTCACTCAGGGACAAGCTCTGTAGGTTAAAGGACCCAGTTGACCCAATTAGACAAAATAATATTATTTACAAAATACCATGCAATGACTGTGAGGTCAACTACATAGGTCAAACTAGTAGGTCAGGGGTAGTCAGATTGTCAGAGCATAAAAATTTAGCTAAGGTAAGAATGGTTGACCCCGAGAAGATAAGTAATTTAGAAAAAAGCTCAGCAATTGCAATGCATGCGTTAACACACAACCACACAATAGGGTGGGAGAGGGTTAAAATTCTAAAAAGTAATCTAGGTAGGTGGAGAGAGAGGTTGATTACTGAATCCTTGTTCATCGAGTCTACACCCAACACATGCAATAGGAATGACTCGTCACTCATACCTGAAATATGGAAAATACTATTACCAATCAAATCAAGTGAAAATCAAGAGAAAAACAATGGAACTATATAAATGAATTTAGGAAGTCGTGTGATTACCTTGATATGATTATGAGCAATAAATTGTGCTCGAAACGTCATCAGTAAACATTACTGTAAACACTGTGCGATTTATCAAAATAAAATCTTATCTATAATGGAATTATACTCTACCACAGTGCCCAAGTTTTATACTTATATCAACTTTATGCGCTGGCTAATTTGTCCTAATTGCATGTCAACAACGACAACAAAAGGTAGAAGATAAGACTGAACGTCGGTAGTAGGGCTTTTACCGTCCTAAAACAACAGTCAAAACAGAAGGTTGACAGTGCTTGCGAATTTGTATGTCTAAAATGACCTTGAAAACTGCCGATTTCATTAGTGCAATCATGCAACGGCGGATACTATCCTCATGTGAGCCACTGCAACTGTATGCACAAATTAACATGAAGCTCTGCCCTCTTGGCATAGTCAGAAACATTAGGAGAACAGAGGAGAGGATAAAACTTCAATTTTCTGAAGATAACACGTGGACCATTTGTCTCAAGGAAACAAAGATTACTGCAGTGCCATTACTAGATATCTTATCAAAACGGGTCGTGAGTTGGACATTATGGGATTATTCAAAATCAATAATAGACATAATAGCTCACTTTCCTTCATGTTTGCCTACCGAGGTAATCGTAATCAAACGCCTGAAACACGATTTATGTGTGTTCAAAAGAAGCAGTTATCACCAGTGTTTCCTTGCCCTGCCATGTCTGGTAACTGGATATCTTCACTGTCTCCCACTCTCTATCTTTCACTTGAATAAGTCGTCTACAGCTTCTTCATTTTATACCCTTTGTCGTTTCTTGTCTCTTGTTTCTATGGTATGAGTTGAACTCATCACAGAATTACTCATCCATCATCGTATTCATATCATACCTTTCTCTATTTCTTAACTCTTTTGGTTTTATTCTTATCAACCACTTATCGTGGTGAGCGCTCAGGGTAAAATATTATACAAGAGGGATTTCTGAACACTGTTCATTGAGTTTGAAATGCCTTGTTAACTGCTGCTATGTATATCACATTTTCAAGGATTTTAAATTGGTTTTGAGGCTGTTAGTAGCAACCGATGACTAGTCAACGAATATTTGTTGGTATCCTCTTGATTCTATCTGCACACAATGTGGATTTCTTAACATTTCGTTCGATATTCCATGTAATTTTTTTGGATAATATTAAAAACAATCATAAAGATAATAATACAACGATGGATTGATTGTTAATGGCAGCTCTCCTTTGGTATTGGTATGACAGTGAATACATATAAATACGTACAAAAATCTAATCGTTATTGATAATGACAATAATGTCAGTTGGCAAGATCGTCAGTTTCATTGAAGAGACAGACTCACCATAGCTTACGAACAGTAGATAGCAAACAGAAGAGCCGATTATTTTGCTAACGTCATAGTCATTCAAAGGTTTCACGCCTAAGATTATTTCTATCGCATAGAAGAAGGGTTGAGCAAACACCAGGTCATTCAGTTCCTATACTCAGTAGAACGAGAAAATCATCTTTTGTACTGACTTATAGTTCTACCAGACGAGATACAAGCGATAAAAGGTGGGAAGAGTTGAGAATATAAGAGCTGCGCTGGGTGGTGAATTTCGGTTAATGTGGATTAAGACCATTTTTGGCGTGAGTTATTCAGATGCCTATCAGTTAATTAATGTAGTAACAAGCTGAGAGGCTAAGTTGTACACCACCTGCCATACTCAAAATTTAAATGCCCTTCTTCTCAAAACGACATAGTAATCTATAATGAAGTAGCCCAGGAAAAACTAAGGTGGGGTGTGATTTGGTGACTACCACTAAAGTACAGTAGGTAGAATACAGCAGTTAACAAATTGTCAAAATAGAGTAAGGTGAGTGATTCCAGATTGTCTTAGCTTCTTAATGTAGCAGCTTAGAAGAGACATTTTCTTGGAAATCGATAAAATATATGATGACTAGCCAAGTAAGATTAGAGGATAAAAGTATACCAAGGTATTTTGTGTTACACGTAGTTTCTACTTCAGTCCCTCTAAGCTACAATCATCATGTTTACTAACCAGTTGATCAAGATCACGTTACGGTCTAAAGGAAGAGTCAACAGTCTGACATTCTGATGGATTTCACTTAAGACCATCCAGCTAACACTAGCAGGCTAATGATATCCAACAAATAGCCATTGAATTTATAGAAGAATAAACGAGAAATGAACACGTTCAGCAATCAGTGTGTGCGTGTATGTGTGGATCCCTGTGGAAAGAAACACAAACAAAACATCACATGTTAATAGTACCAGGCTAAAACAACATCAACTATAAATCAATTTTGTCTAGTACTCACTTACAAGAGACTTTCAGCACGAACGCTTTCGTTACTAACAGAACAGACGAAAACGTACAAAATGATCCCGTGGAGTATTGAGTACACTGCATAACGAATTGATTGCATTTTATTCGTAGTATTTGACAAAGTTTTCATTTTTGTGAAACAGGACACGTTCGTTGTAATCATTAATTCATTCATTCAGATATGTATTCCGTAGGACAGCAATAGTCTCAGCACACACCCTAAATCTCACTTGTTCTGTGAAGTGTCTGTAAAGTGTCAGCGAAAGTTTAGTTTTATGGGTGAGCCAATTCGGTACAAATCGCAAATTAAGGGCAACATATGTGTGCGTGTGTATTTAACTTTGGTGTTTATTATTATTGATTGTTTGTTGTCTTAGACGTTTATGTATCGTTTATTTGAATTTGTGTACTGCCTTAAGAGTTACATTAGTGAATAAATTTAGCCAGATAAAGTGAATCGTTTGATAATGCAATGCACTTTAGGACACTGACAACATGTAACACATTTAAGTGGAGAGATAGACAGGCAGTCACACACACGCAGATAATCATTATCTTCGCCATTTTTATATACCGAACAATTCAAAAAAACAGACAGCATCTAAATTATCATGGTATCTCTCCTCTACAATGTGAAAAGACATTGGTTAAGTGTTTGTTCAAATGCTCTCACCGTAAATATACTGCTGATAAAAAACTGAAGAGGAAAGACAACACCTCACTTAAACAACAACTACCCACCGATATGTATTAGTCATTACGGAAGTGTCAACCAAAAAATTCTACCAATCCAATTTGATCCCATGAAAGATGCTTATATATCCCTGACGTTCATGGGTGATCAACTAATTTCGACCAGTAACCAAAGACTCAAGGTGGAAATTCATAGAAATGTTTATACTGCTAAATTTATTTTCATAGAGAACTATACTGGCGTGTAAACCCTCACTCTGGTATCCCAACGATATAGTCACATCTCATTTTGTTTATCAATTTACATGTATGTGTGAACACACGTACATTGGCAGGAGGACTCATCGGTCTCTCCCGCCTAAGGCTACAAACAACATATTACAAAGTGGCTGCAACCACAACAAATTAAATATGTAGACATAACTTATCCCAGAAATATATGTCCGGCATAATCTATAGCGAATCATGTTATAGAGGCAGGTCAAAAGGCTGATTTCAGGAATGCATTTAAACTCAAATATAAAACAAGGTTTGGCCACATACCTAAATTCGCTGAAGACTTAGCTGTGAAAAGTGTTAAACATATCAGTCTTACGTGTTGAGCCGTTATTTGTTATTACTTGAAACCTGCTCTGGTAATCAAATTTACTTCATAATATTTTCAACCACTTCTTTATTATCTACCTACTGGTTATTTGTGATCTTCACCTGTACACAATCTGACCTGCATTGTGAAGATTCATGACAGCTCTTGACTTTTCTAAGACTGTACATGACAAGTACTTGTATGTGTGTGATAAAAATGTCTGAAATGGGTGGCGCAAAAGTAAACTGCATTTCACGTTTCAGATAAGCTAACTACTTCTTATTATTATGTTGTCGAAGTTCCTAAAAGGGAACCAATTGCGTTTAATTCAGGAAAACTGTGAGAAAACCAATAGACTGCAATCTTAACCTAATAATAATTTCCTTTAGGCAGACCGTATAATCGTGAAAGATCACTTCCAGTAGGTTTAACACGAATGTAGGCTGCCTCTGAGATGACTTCAGTTTTTCTCAGCTCCTCTCAGAGTGTTTGTTTGTGAGCTGTATTTGAGCGTTTTCGTCTAGATATGTTGAATGGTTGGGCTTTTGGAATTTAGTTCCATTGGTGAGAAGCGAATTTATTTTCTCTACGTAAAGCATTGTGTTAATAATTGATGCCGTTCCATACAATTCTCACTACTGATACTCATTTCCAATTCCTATTTTCCTTCCTAAGCAAACAGTACAACAAAACCTTTTATGACCATCTATCTTTTCTTCTGACATTTGCACTTCATCCGCTGTTTTAATTTATATTATTTTGTCTTTGTTCCTGTTTAATTTATAATTTTATTATTCGTCTTCGTGGGTGGGTGCTGATATTGCTGTGCTAATTATTGACTGCGATTTCGCTCCAGTGAGTGAAAGCCATTCTAGCCTTGAACCGTCAGCAAGGATTGTTTGATGTGTGATAGTTTTTGCTAGAGTTTTGGTACCACCTTGTTGAGATTAGTCTACGTGCTTCTCACAGATAATATATAATAATAATGGTAAACCTTTATTTAAGACAGGAGACAGTACAAATATTTTCAGCGTATTCAGTTCCAAAGTACTTTTTTCTTCACACATTATTCACATATAAAGTAATAATCTGAAATATATCTTCATTTCGTTGAAGAACTGTACATCGTTTACTTGGGAGCAAGGTAAACCGTCGCGCAAGTTTATGTATAGGTCATCTGATATAACTGGACGATTGAAACAATGATAAATGCAGATGAAATTAAGCATTTTGGAGGAAATTAATTTTGGTAGCCCAATGATTTAAGCAGGTCGCCTTATGAATAACTAATATTCCCATATAGTACTTTTTGTGCTGGAAATTCTTTGACCTATATTCTGTGGTCTGCCTTACAGCCTTTTTGAGGTAATTATGAGTTTCTTAAGTATAATTGCTGTTGAATAGATCATTATTTTTTTTAAAGAAATGTCTTTTTACCACCGTCGGAGTTGTTTATTTCTGTCTGTTTATTACTCAAAAACGTTTTGGTCAGGAATACAGTAGGATGCGGATATAATTTTGCAGATTTCAGATCATGTCACTTTGGTTTTTGCCGCTACCAATGCGGCCGTTATCAACATAAAACTGGATTAGAAACCAGATAAACAGAATAATAGTTCGAAACAAACAAAAGTAGCAAAATTGAAATGGGAGGAATTAGCCCACATGATGAAACTCCTGAGTCGAAGCTTATCAGTCAGAAAATAGTCAGTTAATTTCGCATTTATGTGCTTGAGCCTTATTTAACAAAATTATCGACAACATCATCCATATTTAGTAGTCATACTGCGCTTTTTTTCTTATTGTTATTATATTTATATTTATATTATATTATTACTTAATATCAGGTGGCATGAAAAGAATGAGAACAAAAGTCTTTGCAGCCTAAAATGGTAACACATTATCAATGAACCAATATGCATAAAAGAAAGGTGATATATTATACATATTTTGAGTATATGCTCAGTCGATATCACTCGCCAGGTCATAAAATGGGATTAGACTTCGACGCCTGGACTTCTACACCTCATATTGAGATACCACAGTGATCAGGGAAGCAGAGCACATGAGAAGTCATCGGACCCAATCGAAAGTAAAGAGCGGAGGGAATTTGAGACGTCCACATCAGTGCCTATTTATTTCACGAAACAAATGCTTTAAGCCATAATAATAGTAATTTTATGAACAATAACATACACTTTGCAAGAATACCTTTGTCTCTGCGATTGCGTTTCTTCCAAATGTTTTTGTCTCAAGACCTCTTGATTTGGCGTTTCATTTTCTCACACGGGAGCATTTCTCATTCTGAGTCTTTCACGGCGTAATATTTTGTCTCTGTTGGTGTGGGGCTGCGTTGTTTGAATTTATTATCACTTTGTTTGGAGATATTCTTCCTTCTTTTCACCTACGATTATATATTGCAGGTAAATTCACATGTATCACTGATATAAGAAAAAAAGTTGGTAAATGTGGTATCGTGAAACTCCATCTACAACGACATGGATCACATCAGTGAAGCTGGAATATTCAGATTATTAGCAGGTAAGGTTTTAGCTATGGGAACAATGATTAACCACAAGAAGGTTGATACTTTTGAGTTAATCGCAGCATTCTTACAAATTACATTAACGTGAAAGCACACAGTAGCCATTTGGGGGGAGATTCCTTTCACCGAATCCTTCTTCAATGAATCGTTACACAACACGTGCAACATGAATAACAGGAAGTGAAGACGAGTGATGTGAAAAGTATTATTACCAATAAAACCAATATATATGGAACAGCAAATGAAGTCTACAAGCTATTTAAACGCCCTAATGTGGCTATGAGCAGTAAACTATGCTCGAATTGTTATCAGTGAATAATATTGTATTGTATTGGGTTTCCATCAAATAATTGCTTTTCTTTGATTGAAAAAGGAAGCTACTGCAGACTACTAAACATGAATCTACAAATCGTGGTATGGTAGACGAATCTTCTCACAACTCCTAATACTACTGGTTGTGTAATTCATTTTACACTGAATATCGCCACTCAATGAATAATCGTTATTTTTAATAATATTGGTATTTTTAAATATTATTTTTCTGTTAAGATCACCTTAAACGACCACCTGGAATCCTCATTTTGAATTATATCGAGTGTCATTATGTAGACTACTGTTGTGCGCATCAATCATTTTTATTTAAATGCCTTTTTTTTACTATTGAACTTCACTTCTTTTTCCTAATCAACAAAATGTTTGTTCGTTTGATATTTAGAATAATAAATCGTTATTTCTGATAAAGTAACACTTACTGAGTAACAGTTTTAGAGTACGTAGTTCAAAATCATCCAGGAGATTTATGAACAATCGGAGAGTAAAAAAGACTAAACGTTGTTATTTTCATCACCTGAAAACATTTACAATTTTTCACTACTTATTGTGATTAGCGTTGAGCAAAGTCCCTCTAATTCATTTTGTAAAAAAACACTCAAAACAAATTGTTATTTATCAAAAGTGTTCTGAGTATTATTTTTTCTTGAAACCACTGAGACGATAGTTCAAACGTTCAAACCAATCTTTTCCCAGAAGAAAGACTGATATCTACTTCAAAGTTTGTAGGTTTTTATGAGTTAATTTAAAGAAGAGTAATTTACTCAGCTTTAAGTTTCAATATGGACAGATAACACTTGGAAGACCACTGAAAAACATCAGTGAGTCCTGGACATCTGTTTCCTCTCACTAGTTTCGAATAATGGATTTCCCAGTTACATGGCAAGCTTCTGGACAATTCAACTATAAGCGCCCGACTCAATGACCACTGCAAAAATTTTAACTTCTGTCTATTCCTAATTTTACAGCGATCCCCCTTGAGTACTTACATGTAATGTCGGTTATGCACTGCTTCTCTGGC